CATTTACCTTACTATTTGCGTAATACAAAACATAATATAAAATACATATAAAAAAAATTTATATAAAAAAAAAAAAAGCTGGGTGACCGTGTCAATTTTAAAATTTTATGTCACGAGAATCTAAAAATTTTTTTGCCTGGCCTTATAAGACAAATTTTTGTAAATGGTTATTTAAGAAGTTAATAAAGCACATGACGAACTATCAAATTACTTAATTATTATGTCGTTGTAAATTAGGATTGATAATCAACATAAATACTCTTATGGTTAAACTAAATTTTTTATGAAAATGATCATTAATATTTTGTCGACATGCATATTGGCAAAAATGTCGCATTACTTAAATTTTTGGTTCAATAATTAGTGACTGTTAAATATATAATCTTTTAAAAAGGCTAAACGTTATAATGGATAAAAGAGATATAAAGTTTGATTCGTCGTAATTAGCCAAAATTATAATTGTCTGTCATTATAGAATTGATTGTGAAGAGAAATGTACAACCGAAATAGTTATTGAACAAGAACTTTGATTAGTTGAGTTCGGAAACGAAACGTATCACAGAACTTTACCCTGAAAAACCTTCCATAAGCATCGACATCATCGTTCAACCGTTATCGACCGTCACCATTGGTAATTATCCAACATTATATCTTTCGAACCATTAACAATATATCAATTAGAATTGATAACTTTTTTTTCCCCATTTTGAAAAGCGTTGCTTGAAAGTTAGAATTTCGCAGTCCCACACCTCGCCATAGGTAGCGGTCACTTTGGTACTTTCTAGCTTCAAATGCTTTGAGAGGAAAACTTAAGGAAGCAATACATGATTTGAAAAACTGAACAACGTGAAAAATGAATTTATCGGAATATTTTATTCTCGCATAGACCGTGTAATAATAAATTTAATCGTTATAATATAATTTAAAAATTGAATGTAAATATTTACCATTATTTTTGTTTTATTTATTGCTTTTTTATCATCATTTAAACTGTCTTTAAGTTTTCTTTTATCATTTTTTTTTTTTCAAAAACAAAGGTAAAAATATAGTCATTAAAAACTGTAAAATTTAAAATTGATTATTTTAATATTTATCATTAGAAGATAGATTATTCTCTTGATAATAACAAATGGATCTAAACAATTTCTTCTTTTTGTTTTAATCATAAAATATTATTTTAATTACCAATTCTGTAACAGCATTGCAGATCTTATCATATTGCTTAATTGTCTACTCCTGAATGATTCGTGGCTATAGATCCAATTCTGATGATAATACGATCTTTGTTGCTTCATTAGTTCCACTATATAAATTATTAAATTCAATAGTTACAATATAATCAATAAATTTCTTCTGTTGAAATCTTAACATAAATAATTATTATATATTATCCTCATATTAGATTACTATTCCGGTTGGAAATTCATAGAATTCTATGATGTAATAATGGATTATTCCATATGTAAAAAAATTTGTAAACAGTTTCACAAGGAACTTCCCTCAGAACATTGTTGAAGTGGTGCAATGCAATGCAAGTAGAATTTCAATAAACTAAGCAATTGGGAGTTAAATATATCACGAAAAGTTCTTTTTTTAATAACTGAAATTGTTAGAATAAAATCGAGATCAAATGAAAATAAATTGCAGTAATTTCATAAAGTTATTCGATCGAAACAGGTTAATAACATCAAATAAATTGAATGAACAGTAGAAACATATTTTTTTTTTTTAGACATTCCTGTATTACAAATAAGAACTATGATTTTCTCTTTAGAAAGAAATTCCTGAATCCTGTCTAAAATTCTAATAAAATGTTCGTTCATTAATAAAAAAAAAATTTTTTGACAAAAATTTAAAGTTTGCAATTTGTGCAAAACCTTGACTATTACAGTTGATTTTCTCACGAAAATGATTTAGATTGATTGCCGGATCGATCGCATGAACTGTAATGAAAATTGAACTTTATCAATATTAGACCTTGGCTTAGACAAATAATAAAAGAAAAGTTTATTAATTAAGTATCGAATATTTAAAACTGTATTTAAGTAAAATTTTATTTTATTATCTTAAAGTATACCTTACCTTAATTATTTAAACTATTGGACTATTGGAAATTAGATTGATGAAAGAGGACCAAAAATAGAATATTTACTATCCGGATACTTTAAACGCCGAAATTAAATTATAAAAAGAACAAACCCTAATCCAAATGTGACAAACGAAACCTTTCGGTTTCGACGGGTTTCAACGGGTGCGTTTGCTTATTAGTCAGTATTTACATATTTGTCTATTGTTGCTAAGTTGTCTTCATCTTTTATATGACTGACCTTTTTATTCCTTTTATCATTTTAATTTAGTTCGTCACTTTCTTGCTTGCTCACTTACAATATGTTCTTTAGGTTTTCAATTCCAAGATGTATTAACCGTGAATAAGGGATTGTCGTTATCATAATTTTATGCTCTTTTGTTTATTTTTTCTTAATTTTCTCATTCATTATATTTAATATTGCAGTCTTTTTTATTTTTATAGATTTCAATTACAGGGCGAACCAGATGAGAAGGATGGAGGGATGTTAAACTGGGCTGGTAAAAATATGAGGATGTGTTTTATGCCTCAGCAGCCACTACATTATAGTACTGTACAATATGTGAGTATCATGAAATCAACCTCATATACTGATAAGCTCAATTGAGTTTGGATAAACAAGTGTTAAATACCTGTCTTATAGCAAATTTATTTATGGAAAGTCTATTGTCTTGTTCAGCCAATTTATCAGCAGAATCTAGAATTAAAATATTTGGAATCTGGTTTGCTATCAGTATGTTTTGCAACAACAAAGAAACAGATAAAAATAACAGTAAATTCTTATACATTGTGGTAGCCCTTCGCTCCAAAATATTAGTTCAACAAATAAAAAAGGATTCTGCAATATCATCAAAATTAATTATTAAAAAATAAGTCCACATGACTATAATAAAGTTAAGTTGTGATAAACCAATGCTTACTAAAGATTATTTAAATAATAATTGAAACTGAATTCTAAAAGAAATCTGTTTTTTTCTTGGTTTTGTTAAGAGGTATTTTTTTTTTGTTTTCAGATGATAAGAAATCGTTTGTTTTATGTTAAAATTTAGAAAATGCTTGGGAAGCATTAGAAGTTTCAAATGATCATTTCAAAAAAAATACCCTACCCTAATGGTAATTGATTATCTTTTAATAATACAATCCAAATTCATAGAAAATTAGTAAAATATTGATTATTAAGGAAAATAATGACCAAAATATAAATAAACTAGAATTATTATAATAGAGAAATGAGAAAATATTCCAGAAAGCATTTTAGCAATTTTTATGAAAGAATATTATAGGCTTATAATCAAAAAAGTTGGTAAACATAAAATATTAATTTATTGTAATAAAATTCTACTTATAAATTATTAATATGTAAATTCTTTTTTTATGTCTATATTTTCCATTTAATTGTAATCCTTCTTTGATATTGATATAATAATATTTCTTTGATGAAGAATAAATAAATAACAATATTTCTAATAAACATATTAAGTAATTTTTTGATTTAATGATATATTTTGAGTTTATTAAATAATAAAAGATTTCATTAATAGGAAGAGAAATTGAAACTAAATAACCAAAAAGCTAAGTTCATCAAGTTAATGACTAAGAATTAGTTTAAAAAGAAATCTTGCAACTAGCACTTATGATCTAATATCATTTGATATTATATATTTAATGATTTAAACTCGTTTAAACATTTTATTATGCCAGAAATACATAATATTTAGTCATTTATTTGCAAGTTTAATATAGTATTATGGTAATATTATTCTTGATTGAAAAATGTATAACCCAAATCTCTGATGGATTAAGATATTTAACATAATTAAGAACCTTTAAAAATGCTTATTTAAAATTGATTGAAAAACTTTTACTAAAAATTTGAGTACAGCATAATTATTGCTTTACTTAATATCCAACTAACTATAATAATAATGATAATTTTTATAATTATTAATCTTTCAAAGTGCTATAGCTGGTTATTTCAAAATCATGTACCTTTGTTAACCAATTATATAGTACTTAGTTCATCTGTATCATAGACACTTTCTCTAAAAACTTTTGTATATTACTTATAATCTATTTATAAATGTTTTGAGCTTTTATAAAAAGAAGATCAATAGTATACTTGTCAAATATATATATAGCAAATTTATAATTTTAAGAATATCTAATGAACTATTAGCTTGTAAAAGTACTTTATCATCAAGAAAAAATATGTCATTTTAGGATTATTAATAAAGTGCTTATTAAATCTATTCACTTCTCTTTTTTACTTTAAAGATGATGATGATATTAAAAATGAAGTCAATAATGTGAATTAGAGCTCTGAACAGGTCAGTTCAGATTAGGTCAATCAAGTGACCTGAATTGAGAGAACCAGGTCAGGTCAAACAAAAATCTGACCTGATTTAAATTTTCATTTAACCTGACCTGATCTGACCTAATCTAACCTAATTTGATCAAATTATTTAAATTATTTAATAAACAATATATTATATTTGATTCAA